CCTGGTAATGCTCTACTCCAACCTTTTTAAGCACAAGATCACTTTTTGAATTAAAATGCAACCCAGGATCGATCTACTGCTGCATGGAGCCGGGGCAGAGCTGTGATCCCCTGCCTGCGCACCCCTGTCCAGAGCATGCAGGCTACAAATTGTGGCTCTGCCCTGGCTCTGAAGCAAACTGCCCCCATCCCAAGTTCCCAATGGCTCCAGAGCAGCCCCCTGCGCTGCTCTGCCACATGCATTGCCAGTGTGGCTCAGGCTGGTCTCAGTGACAACCCCAGCCTGAGCTTTCTTGTGCAGGTGTGGCTGGGGTCTCCATGGAGACTGACCTAAGCCATGAGAGCAGGGGCTGCTGAGAAACAGAGTCCAGCTGCTGGTCAGATCAGCCTTTTTGCCTATCCCTGTTTTATGCCTAACTGTATCTTGAAAAAAAAACGATGGGGGACTGAGACTGAGATCAACTGTCAGAGGCTCCTCGATCAACCAGTCGATCATGATCAACTGTCTGGTGACTACTGCTCTACTTTATCACCATTACCAGCACTGAGATTCTTGGCTCGCTCTCCTTTTCTGACCACTCCAAGTACCCAAGCAAGCCTATGCCATATGCTCTCATGATCCCCATCATTCCCACTCTCACCTTAAAATTGTTCTCTTTTTCAGATCCTTCACAATAAGGTTTTGCCCTTCAACTCAACCTTTGCTCTAATGCTTATATTCTCTCTTCAGTCATTCATTTCCAAGTTCCCTAACATGCCATTTACAGCTGTTGTCTGGAATTTCTCTCTTCCAGGTCCCCCCTAGACTCCTCTAGACACCTTCTGTCAAAGATGATACCAGCCTATGGAGAAAGTAGGAAGAAAGCATACTGTCCCCATTTATCTTGGCCCATGCACAGCATCATTTAGTTCATTGACTTTAGTTAAGCTACACTTATCTATACCAGTTGGATAAAGGCCCATTGCCTTTATTTCTGTTACTTATTCTTGAGATTGAGAATACAGTTTTACATTGGGTAAATGATGCATAATTCTAGTTTCCTGTGATTTTCTTGCTTCATAATCAAGGACTTTGAAAAGTTTCTCAAGCTATAAGGGAATATATTTTTGCCATCATAGGTAAAAATATTGACAAAACCACATTCACTTCTCTCCTCTCATCTATTGCTAGCATCATGGAGATGATTCCAGGTAGTTGTTCTTTCTGATAAAAACTTTAGGGGTTATCAGGGGAATTCCGCCACACAACCTACTCCCCAATTCCAGTCATTTTTCAGATGATGGTAAATGGTCTTTTTCCATCACAAACACACGTGCACACATTAAGTATCATCGCATACATGCAACAGCAACTGAGAGTGGCATTGTTGCAGCCTATGCAATTGAGAGAACATAACAACTCCTTATGGATTTTTGTTTAAATCTCTAGTACCTGACTTCTGATGCCATTTGGTTTGGGTGCCATTAATTTGGTTTAAAACAATCCATATGTAGAGTCTAGCTTTCGTAATATTGGAATATGGATTCACATACAATCACCTTAACGCACTTCTATTTAGAACAAGAACAGTGAGGACAATGGAGCAGGTAGGTTGTTGAATACCTACTAAGGTTGCTGTGCTTTCACACTACCATTTTATGGGTGCTTTAGAAGTGAAAGAAAATGTAAATTTTAATTCAAAGGGACATATGTTCCCCTTATCTGGGGAGCTCTTTAGATTGGCTCCTAGATTTTGGCAAAAAGCATGTGGGTTGGGAAGGGAATCAACTCTTCAACTCCTGCAGCTGATGTGAAACTGCTCTGTGGCTGCTCCTTCAGCTCAAGCTGCAACAGCACTTTTGGTCTTGATGTACCTTTTGGCAGTAAGAAGGAAGAACTTGAGAATAGGTTTAGCACTAGAATATCTTGTGCTTCTTTTAGCCTTCCATTTTCCTGCCCACTGCATATGGCTACCCCAAAATCCTTCCCTTGGCTTTGCAGAGCAGAACACCATGGCTGTGGACAAGGGATAGGTTTGTTTCTCAGTGCGTGCAGCTTTTATTAGTTCTGTCCTTGACTGAAGGAAGAATAGTTTCCCTTTTATTTATTTAGCTATATCTGCTGCCTAGCAAATGCTAGACACTCCCATCATAAGATCTAAGAGCCTCTTCCAAAACATAAAATTCACAATAATTGAATAAATTACATTACGCTCATGTACCTTCAACAGTCATTTACTGAGCTTCACTGAGTTTAGTCATCTGGGATTAAATAAGAATTTTACCATTACACCCTCGTGTGGTATATGCCTGTACAACTTTTAAAAATATTCTTTTTATTCATCTTACTATTTATTTCTGGACTTGTACAAAAGTAGGAAGAAGAGACTTGAGCCTTCATTTTCTGGGCATTTAACCCTCTTGCCAAGCTGAATGGGAAATCTGGATGCAAAAAATGCTATCTCATGCTCATAATTTGTATAAAAATAGATACCTAAATGAACCAGGAACCCAGAGCTAAGCCCTTACCAATATTTTTTACTTTGTAGATGGGAAAAGAACTATAAATGGATTTCCAGAGTAAGTCAGTTATAAAGGTATTCAGAAAACAAATATAAAATTTCTTGAACATTGCAATGAGTGTTTTTGTTAAAATTTAATTTCTAGAAAAGTTGTTGACCAATCATGTTACTCAATCATTTCCTACTTCAGAATAAAAGCACTTTTTCGGGTTAGCAAGCTCCTGTTTTGTAGATCAGTATGAACTATTCCCATCTTTCAGAAGAGGAGAAATTGAGTTTCCAAGGGTTACAGTGAGTTACAGGTAGAATCTGGATTAGGGCTTAAGGCCTCTAGTTCACAGCTCTTCCCCCATTCCTCCAAGCCACATGAAATTAAACTCTTTTCTTCAATCATGTTTGTAAAACTTTCAAATTGGATATGCAGATTTCACAGCTGGATTATAATATTCAAATGAACTTTAATTTACATATATATTTTAAAAGACACTCTAGAATTCCATTGGTCATTTCCCTAGGAGTGGATCTGAATCTCAGGACTTTCAGGAAATAATAATATAGGTTGCAGTAATCATTCTTCCAACCAGATCTATTTACGTTATTTGACATAAGTGTGCAACAATTTGTTGTTAGTTTCTCTTACTTTCAGACATATCTAGAATAATTATTAGCATCTGATTGATCTGGGAACAATCCTATTCTAGTGGATACTAAAGCATGTAAGCTCTTTCCTGCAAAGCATAGTGCTCTGTCCAGTGCTAAAGTTATGCTTTCATCTGGTTATCTTTCAAGACAACCTGGGTGGTCACAAAAAGCACTTGACATCTTGATGCACTTCAGCAGTTTTACATATACACAAACTTTGTAGAAAAATAAATTTGTCATTCGTCACCACATATGTTGATCTGGGGAGTGAGGTTCCTGTGGCTGTAGCTCCTGTGCTTCTCAGCTTATTCTCTCTCCCTCCTTCCCCCCTTCTTCTCTTTAACTTTTTTTGTTTTTTGCACTCTATAGAATATTTTCCTTAGAATTTCATGGAAGGAGGACAATCTATACATTTGTCAAAATATGCTCACCTTCTTCGTTAGTTACAAACTTATGTTAAAAAAAAGTCCTTGTGGTGGCATCTAGCATGGGACAAACATTTAGAATATCTAATCTGTTATCACTGCTCAGCAGGCAGTCTTGGCAACTATGATCTATTCTGCTTTGCTTTGGGGAATGTGATAAAGAGCAAGAAACAGCTGGCTTAAGAAAGCCATAGAAACATCTCTGTAGTTTATAAAGACAGTAATAATATTTTCATATTTGAATGAGTTTAGATACATGTTAAACCACACCAAAGGGAAAAAGCAACTCAATTCAAAATGTTTTCTCAAGTCAATAAGAGAACACTACAAAAAAAAAGCCTTGCACCCCTGGGAGATCAAAGCAAACAAGTACGTACTGTTATAAGCTATTAAGGAACACTGTTCCAAATCCACTTCACTTAAAACCACCCCTAATACTCAGTCCTGATGTTTTGTGTTATACTTTTAAAGAAATATCATGTTATGAATTATTATTCACAAGTTTCAGTTTTTTGTGTTCTTAACTCAAATCTGTGACATTATTTTCTACCAAATTGTTTCTCAAAGTTATCCTGGTTTAACCTTTTTCTACTGTGACAATATTATTTATAACTGTTGTTTTGATACAGATGAAGGAACAGTTTAAGAAAGGGCAGTCTTAAATGTCAGGGATGTAGTACTGTAGATGCCAAAGATGCTGCTTTTTGAGGGCCTTTTTTAATCTCGGGCCATGTTGATTCATTATAAAAGTGATATTAGATGTTGTGTGATCCCTTTAGACACTGTGGAACAAATTCTGGTTTGGTTATGCCCAGGTAGGCTCCACAGACTGTGTGTTAGATTCAGCTAAGGACAGAATTTGATTGTTAAAAGTACAATAGAACTGATTCAGTGACCACTGAAGTCAATGGAAAGGCTTCATTGATTTTGGTGGGCGTTGAATGCATATGTTTAAAAACAACGTATAATACCATCAGACCAGGAAAGGACACTTAATGTTCAACATCCTTGTATTATCTATAGAGGAGGGCTTCTCTTGCCTGCCCCCCACCCTTTTTTTAAAGTAGCACATCAGTCAGCATAGTTTTTGGACTGTTGGCTAGTTGCTTACATTCTATGGATGAACATATGAAGGATGCAGTAGAAGCAGTAACATTCTGGAGACTTTGAAAACTACAAGAATTCCCAGGGGACTTCCTGGTACAATTAAGAGGAGGCTGGGAAGAAAAAAAACTCCAAATATTTATTTTAATAGGAAAGATTCCCCCATAAGAAGGTCTTGATCCTGCTGCCCTTGCTCTGGAAACCCCTGTTGATGTGAGTGGAGATTTTGCACAACTGAGGACTGCAGGATCAGATCAATGGTCTCTTAGGCAACATCAAGCATTTAAATGTAGACATCTTTTAGTCCAACATTTTGTTATAGGTTTTACCTGGTATGTGACCTCTGCAAGTATAAAAGAATTCTTTACAATAGTCTTTGCACAGGTAGGGAAGAACTAGTTCTCTTTCAGATGTTTCCCCTTTCTCAGGTGAATGGAATAGATTCTGAGCATATGGTGAGCAGTGTGCACATTTGATTTCCTCCAGTAGCTTCATACATTCTGTGTTGTTGGTAACAGAAAATATCTGCAAGCCACAAACCAGAGACAAATAAACACATTACCTATTTCCCTGTCTTAAACAAAAAGATTCTTTCAAATAATGTAAGTAGATCATGCCAACTTAATCAGCAGTTATTTAACATTACATTTGCATCACATTTTAGGTCACCATGTTAGAAGAATCAAGTGCAGAAAGCATTACTATAAAAGAGAATTAATTACTTGTGCAACAACTCATAAGATTTTTGTGGACTACACAACTGCTTGCTTCTCTTCCCAAGTGAAAAAAATAATTTACTCAGATTATTTTATGGACTCATCTCTTCAAGCTGTTAGTCATGCCAGTATTTCTGGAAATCAGCAGTAATACTCACATGAGTAAATATTACTTCCATAGGCATGCAGCTGTAAGAGCAAGCCCTATTGTCCACTTCCCTTATAGGTGATGGTGAAAAACACAACTGTCAAGTCAAAGTAAGATATATACACAGCCACCATAAAAGTTGTCCAAAGATTTAAAACTAAAATTCTAATGTCAAAAAACTTTAGAAGAACAATACTCAGGTGTCCGTGAGATATGCATGTTTTGAATTATATTGTGATCTTGCTACTGAAAATCAGTGGAGTTCTCAAAGGTCATTCTCCGGATGCCTTGGTATTCTTTCCACTTTTCAGTACCATAATATTAATTACATTCTCAAGTGGAAGCTATTTGTTGGTGGAAAAATAAATACATTTTCAGTGATTTCTATTCATAAGAAATTAAAAAGTTTAAATGTTCTTTAATGTCCTGTTGGCCCTATAATTCAATTTAATGTTGTCTTGAGAAAAGAGCATTTATTATTATGCATAGTACTTACTTGAAGCATACACCATGCTTGATAATGTGTATAAGTAAATACAGGAGCCTAGGGAATGTCATACCAGCATACCATGAAAAATAAATGTTAATAGAAAACAGCATGTCCTTTTCTATTGGTCTTTAAACGTTATGTGCTGTGTTACCCATTGTAAGCCACATGGTTTGCTTTTTGATCGTTCATTCCCAAAGCATAGGATGGGTCAGTCTAGACCTCACTGGGTGCATCTAAACATCCAATTAATGTGAAGCAATAAACTCAGGCTCATATTGCACTGGAGTTTATTGCTCCTGGACACTGCAGCACGTTGAGCCAGGTTGGAGCAGCCTCAGCTGGCAGGGGACACAGGGGATCAGCCTGCTAGCCCAGGGCTGCTCTGACCCAACTCAACATGATGCGGAGGATCTGGCTGGGGCATGAGGATGGTCCAGTGTGGGACTAGCTGCCAGGCAGCCCCTGCACTGAAACACCCTCATGTCCCAGCCGGCACCATCAGTGTTTACACATGCATTGCTGTTCACTAAAAAATACTGCTATAGGAAAGTACTTATGTTTACTTGTGTTAGTGTTTAGAAGTACTATCCTATGGGGAAGTTAATTAGTTTCCTGTGACCTGATAGGGCTGCCCATGTAGATACTGAGACTGTACTGCAGAGCTATTTAGGCAGCTCCACAGTAAATGTCTCATGTAGATACACCCACTGATGCTTATATGAGTTGGGTGCTTTCTGAACATACGGCTTAGCATTTCATTATTCATGTTTGTTAATGTAATAAAAAATTCTAATGTAAAAACTATTTTAAAAAATTTAAATGACAGCAGTGCAAATATAGGATATCCTCTTGCTATTACTGTGCAAGTTTTTCTAGCTCAAGATTAATCATCACAGTTACCATTTTGGACTCTAAAAGCACTCTATAAAATAATCCAACACTGTTTAGACATTTATTGAAAATGGTTATAGGTAAATTAAATAATTCAATAGGCAGTGCTTTTTTGGCCCATAATTTGATCATGATATCTCATGGATGGCCTGTCTTCTAGTATGTCCTAATTTAGTAACATAATTTTGAACTTGCTACAGAAGAGTGGGAATCACATAGACCCTGCTTGAAAAATGTTTTTTAAAAACACTTTTCTGTTGTTTTAAATAGCTAAATATGGCATCCAATATACTACCAATAGCAAAATACTTCTAAAATTATGTAAAATAGTAAATGAAGCAATCCATATTTAAAATAGTCCTGTATCATATCAAATGGTCATTAGTGAGTTAAGACAGCATTTCTCAAGCATTTTGAAAATCAAAATCCTATTCAGGAACAGGAAATTAATTGTGTTTCCTTTTAGCCCTGCTGTATGTTATCAAAAGACCGTTCAATGTGAGTGGTTACTTAGAACAGTCCTATTGGCTTCAACTGCACTAGTAATGTATGTATAACAATATTTAGCTTCTATCCTTATTCTGCTCTCAGACTGAATTTTCCCAGACTTAATTCTGTAGAATCAGGCCATAAGCATTCTGTTTTCTCTGCATTCTTCTTATATCAATCTCAGCACTTTCCAAAAATGTACTGAGTAAGAATACTGAGGGTAAAACCAGATGTCAGATTTCTCCCAGGGCAAAAGTGTTTTAACCAGGCATCCTAGAGCCCTGCAAACCCATTGTCCCACTTTAAGTACTGGTGAAGTATCAGAGATAATGCTTTTTCTCAGAACGATCCTGGATAATTTGAGTGAATTGTCATTTATTTTAGGGACAAACTAAGTGTGAAAAGGACTTTACTGCTCCCAGGTTTTGACTGATTATCAGAACCACTTCAAATGCAACATCTGCTTTTACCAGAACGATTGTCATGTGTGGTTCCTGTTTTCTCTGTCTGCTGTCCTGTTTCCAGAAAAAGAATTATGTGACCAGTGGAGCATTGTGTTTTGGTAGGTGTTTGTTATGGTTTTTTAAAACCTATATGTTGTTTGGTGTTTATATTGGAGGAAACAGGTGAAAGAAGTCTTTCTTGCACTTGGAGCAGAGATTTTGAGGTGAGTGGTGTTTCTTAATTCCAGGGGCATTTCATTCCATAGTCTCAGACTAGTTTCCCAGAAAGCTCTGTCAACCCCAGGAAAATTTTGCTCTTGACAGTTCTTTAGTTGACAGAGCAGCAGACTTGCTGACCACAGTCTTCATCCCAAAGGTTCAGATGTTAATATATGTAGGATCCAGGCCTTTAAGCACCTTGAAGATAAGAACTGAGACCTTGAAGTTCACTTGATATTCCATAAAAAGCCAGTGTAGAAAAAGGAGAGGTTGTATATGCTCACAGCTATCCATGCATTCTGCACTAGTTGGAATATTCTAAGGACTGACAGATTCATGTTCAGCTGTAGTCCAGACAGGAAGTGAAAAAGTCAGGAGGTCATTGTCAGCCAGAATGGAACGATGTCTTCCAGGCAACCATAAATAATAGAAAATGTTAGTTTTGAATGACGCTTGTAAGACTAGGAGCTTAATATCAGGAAGCATGAGCAATCCTAAACTGCATACTGGATTGGCCAATTTCATGTCTGTGCTTTCCATCAAAGGAAATTGCACTGTAGCTGCAAACTCGTCAAAATATTTTCTTCTGTCTGCCAGCATCACCTGTCTTGCTAAGGCCCAGTTTCAACTAATTGTTCTCATTTGTGAGATGGTCTCACTCAAGCGTTAGGTTTTCATTGTGATAATGGTATAACTGTATGTGGTGAAACATCAATAGGTAATGCAACTGGTGAATACTGAGTTTGTTTACTGAATTAACTCCACTTATGATGCAAATGCATTGCTATAGTTCTATTGGATGTGCCCAGGGAAAAAACATAAAACCATCAAAGCTATTTCATTTTTCCTGGTGGAAATTTATCTTAAATTGTCCAGATGTACATAAGCAAGAAATACTATGTTCCATTTTAATAGCTAAGGCTAAACTAAAAAGATCCTAATCCTCCCAGTCAGTTGCCATCTATTAGAAGTTTGATGTTAGACTACAGGAATTTACTTCCTCCCACAATTTTGAGAATGTCATTTGGTCCTTTAGTAGCTAATCAGAAGATTAAGGAATTGGAGTCAATACATTTTCTGAAAATCAGATGCAGTCTTCCTACTGGTCAAATATAGGAGAATGGCAACGCTTTGCTCTATGTGAGGTCTGAAGTATATTTGAAGGGCAACCAAGTCATCATTCCATTTTTGGTTTCAATAAATGAGTAGTTTTACTGAAGGAAACTGAACAGGTTTAGTCCAAAGCTGAAATATTGTTTTGGATGTAGGATGTTTGGTAAACATTTAAAAATGACCTTTGCCTTTTAAATTGACAATGTCTTTGGCCTTTTAAAGAGTTGTAAATTAATATCCTGTTTCAATTTTTAAAAGTTATATGTGAAACCATTAATAGCAGTGGTTTAAACAAAATATGCTGTGGAAAATATGTAAAACTTCCAAACATTTATTGCAACATGCCTACTAATGATTATGCCTGTTGCTGACTAATTTACAACATCTGTAAGATCATCCTTTAATCTCTAGCCACAGGAAAGAAAGACAGAATAAAGGTAAGATAAATATTGGAACATGAGGGAATGTGCAGCCTACAAAATTAGTTTATCAAGAATAAAAATAGTGGAAACAAGAAGAAACAAAAGGAAGACTCAATAGGCAAAAATGCTTTAAATCTAATATAATCATCTGTTTTGCATATGCCGTGGTATTTTATTTGGAAAAAATAGCTGGGTTTGATGTAAGAGAAAATATATGACAGTGAATTAAGACACTGCATTAAAATGTATTTGGTATAAGAGCATTTATGTCTAAAATTATGTGCCTACAAGATTGTTCAGCTGTTGGGTTGAACATATGCTTCTTCTGTACTATACTGCTAGATTATGTCATTAAAGAGTTCAGTTTCAATTTTAGGCTAATATGTAAATAGATCATTGTACCAAGGCAGCTGTTAAAGGGACCCCAAGATGAGTTATTTGTTTAGTTGGATGTGTTCAACAATAGCCTTTGTTCCTGAAAGAGCCAGAGCAAACAAATGATTGTAAAAGGACACACTTGAAAACAATTACTTTTCACCCATTCCTTGACAGCCTTGGTTGGGAAACCATCTAAGGTAAGGAGGACTTCTGTGC